CACCTTCCTGTACCCTTGGTGCTGAGGCTATCTCCTCCTTCAAGCTTTCAAACACTGGATGAGAACAGGAAACAGTCAGGCCGGATGTGGTGGAAATCCGGCCATTGTTACAAGTGGGTACTGGCCTAAAGGGACAAGGAGACTCATTTTCAAAAAACGCAGGGACACTGTGGCAGGGAGAACATCTAGAATAGGAACAGTAGGGACTGGCCTGACTGTGGGGGCCTTTGTGTTCTGGGCTGTCTTACTTGTCCAGTCCATCTGCATCAGCAGCATCCATGAGAATGGGATGCTGTAGGTTACAGATAGCATTCATCGAGCATGGGCACAGAACAGCTCACATGCAGCTCCTCTCACTGGGCTCCTACAACCTTACGGATAAACACTATTGTTACATTTATCCTTTATAGAGTAAACAGGTTCTGAAAAGGACAATGATTTGCCACCACCAGGTATCCAGAACAATTATATGAAACTAGCAAGGTATGATCAAGATCACTATTTTCCAGACAGTCACTGAGGCAAAGAAGAAAAAGGCTTTCCCAAGGTCACAGAACAGGACCTTTTCCTTTCAGGGTCAGGACAGAGTTTTGTTAGGAGGCAACTAAGCCCAGCCTCCCTTTTTTAGGAGAACCTCCCAGATCATTCCAGCCCTTGATGGGTGGGAGCTCCAAAGCAAACTCAAAAACAAACTCCAAAGCAAAGTTGCCACAGGGTACTAGAACCGGAACACACAGGGATGTTAGGATAGGCTTTTTTAAAGGACTAATGGAAATTTAGACACAAAGAGCCCTCAGCAGAGTTGGACTCCCGAGGCAGAGTTCTAGCTACTTAAAAGTACCTAACAATTTGAGCATATAATTATATTCTGTACTGCATTGTTTCCTGTCCATGTTGTTAATTTTGTCTCCTTAGCTCAACTGGAAGCTAGAGGGTAGAAATGGAGCTTGAGTCTTTGGTAGGCCCCTGGGGTGTAAAAGGTTCAGAATTGATTGACTGGTTGCCCTCAGCAGCTCTTAGTCTGCTCAAGGCAGGCCCCCTTCTCTTGGAGCAACAGTGGCCCCCGCCCCTCACCACACACCCACACAAAAGGCAGGACATCACAACTTGCCAAGGGAACCCTCATGACTTCTTAACCAGCAACAAGCCCAAGATCGCCAACTCAGAACCTCAAGCCACATGAAGAGTACCAGCCATTGTAAAAACATCATACGGGCCCCCTTCCTTACAATAACATTTGGGCAATTACCATGGTCTAGGATAAATCATAATCACCTTCTAAAACCCATGTTGCAAAAGAAGCTCTAAACTGACTTACCAGTATATCCCATCTGCAACCTATAGAAAGAGCTTCAGGTAAGTTCCTTATACTTCTCTTTGGTAAATAGATTACAGAATTTGACAATGTGAGATCTCACTCATACTCAGAACACTTTGTAGACACTAAACAAATGGGTTTTCTTTCTCTGATTCCAGAGTTAACAGAGGCTTTAATCTTGGGAACAAGGGGGGATAGAGAGGGGATCATTCTAACAGCTAAGAAAAGGCACTAAAGCCTTTTTTTTTTTTTTTTTTTTTAGCAGAGTGAGCTATCTCTGGAACACAGGCCATAGTGTGGGATCAGGGTAAAAATGAAGGTCACGTTAGAAAAATACCCATGAGGAAGAAGCACAAAACAGAGCTTCCTCTCAGGAAAAGCTCCTTCTGGAAAGGAAGATCATTACACCCTCATTTTTAAACCTCATCCTGATACATTCTCTTGTGGGCCCCTGATCAAGCCCAGGCTCAGAAGTGGGTAACCAGTCAGGGACAAGGCTTGGGTTAAAATCCTGAATCTGCCACTGAGTGACCTTGAACAACTTCTCTGGGCATCAATGTTCTCAACTGTAAAATGGGAAGACAATAATAAAAGAGTTCCCACCGGTTGAGTAGGAATGAGTGTAGCATAGGAAAAAAATGTATGCAAAAGTACTCTGTAAAGGACAGGCCACTTGACAAATATGAGGTATTTACACCATCACAGCAAAAGACAGGGAGGTAAATGCAGCTGGAGGAATATTACCAAGGGTGCGCCTGCACACACGCACACACACACGCACACATGCACACACACACACCTTTGCAAGGACAAAAACTCCAACTAAACCAAGCCAGAAAAGAATATAAGCTCCCAGAGTGGTAGCTTGCACCTGTAGTCAAAACAGTAGAGAGGTTAAAAACTGCCTCCAGTTCAAAGCCAGATCGACCACCCAGAGCTACAGAAAGGCTGTCTCAATCTAAATAAATAAATAAGTCAGTCCACCTACGTGGGAATCAACACCCTAGAACAGTCTGGAAAAAAAAAAGAGTATAATAAAATCATGGAGAAGAGGTGGTTGTGAGGGCAAAATTAATAAGGGAGAAGACTAGAAAGGTGGAAACCCATTTGATTAGCTAAGCATCCTAGGGCGTGACCCTTGGTGACATGACAGGCTCTGTCACCTGAGGGTACCCCTTCAACCAGACACAATGAAGGGAAGAAAAAGGGAGAAAAGGTAGCAACAGAAGGCAAGGCTGGCCAGAGACTGACCATGGGCCCAGCAGGAATTCCCCATCCTGAGGAGAGGGCCTACCCAGCCCCAGCTTCTCCGAATGGAGCTGACTAGAAAGACTCATGCCCATGCACCCGTGTCTCACCTGGTAGGGGTCACTATGGTGCCCCAGCGCCTCCGCTTCCGCCTGGGGTACTCCAGTTGCTCTGACAAGCAGGGAGAGGGGCAAGGAGACCTTCCCCCTCGCCACCTCTTCCTCAGCTTTCGCCCTTCCTGAGGGGCGGGCCCGGGAAGCCTCCCCTGGAGGGGAGGGGGTGACAACCTGATCTGACCTCGCGGTCCAGTCCTCCCCCAACTCGAGGGCGACAGTTGCTGAATCCCGGATTTCCGATTGTGGGGTCTGAGCCCCGTATATTTGCAAGGGCTAAAAATGAGTCCGATATTTGAACGCTCGGAAGATGAACCCCGGATATTGGTGCACACAGGGTCCTGAATCCCAGGTATTTTAAATTCTATAAAACAGAGACCCAGGTTTGTAAAGGTTGGGACTTGCGTCCCAGATAACTGATATACGAGGGCTTGATACCTGGGTATCTGAGAAACAAGAAACCAAGCCCCAAAATTTGGGACCCAGGGGCCTGAGCCCCAGGTCTTTGGCCACGACAAGGGGCCCACCCCGAGGTCGCCCGGCTGCACGGCCCCTCTAAGGCTGGGGTCCGAGAGTGACAGCCCCAACTCCAGCCCTGGCCTACTCCCTTTCCCGTCCTCTCTGTCCGAAACAGCTGAAGGACTGTAGCCGAGACGCTGCTGATCGTCCCTGCGCCTCACTCCCTTTCCTTTTCGTCTCAGCTTCTCACCGCACCACAGCCCTGCTCTCGTCCCGGCCTCCCTCTCTCTCTCCCTCTCTCTTCCTCCCAATTCCAAGATGGAGACCGGGCGGGAGCGCGCAGGCGCGGTATGCACGCCGGGCCAAAGGAGGTGGGGTCCCAAAGGAAGTAGCTCCGCCCCTCGCTTGTAGCTGCCGCGGCCCAGACGACAAGCTGCCCTCAAGCCCAAGTGCGCGCGCGCCCCGCCACGCGGATCTTGGGTGGGAAGAGGAGAGGAGAAAGGCTTGGCTTGCTTGGGGTGGAGCCCAAGCGCGCTGTCCGAGGACTGCTGGTGGAGAGAGCTGTGGCGCATGCGCCCGCCACGCTTTCGCGCTGCGACTGAGCTTGTTGCTAGGGGAAGCTCTGAGGGGGCGCGCTAGGAAGGAAAGCTGAGGTCTGCGCCTGCGTGCAGGGTAAAGACTGAAAGGAGTTAAGCAAGGCTGCTGGCAGCTGGGCGCGGGAAAGGCGGGAAACTGGACCATTATGATGTTTATAAGTATCTAAACTAAACCTGAGCTCCCAAGTCCTAGAATGATGTGCCAAAGTTGGGAAAACCCAATGGGTCAAATCCCTACAGGAAAACTGAGGGTTGTATAACTTGCGAAAACTCATGAAGCATTTATGTCAAAGCATAAACAGAATCATCAATTTACGTTCATGGAAGAAAACAAGTGGCAAAGTAGCACAGTCATATTCACAGTATGTCTAAAGAGTATAGTTCTGGCTTAATGCTTACAATTCCAGCACTCAGCAAGCTGAGTCTGAGGCAGGAGGATACAAGTTCTGCAGAGCATGTAACTTAACGGAGTTCCAATATCAAAAACAAAAACCAAACACACACACAAACAAAAGCCTCAAGTATTTTCCAAAGCAAATTCACAAACACGGTCAAAGTGATCTATGCCAACTTGTATTCCAAACTAAGGTCAACAAGGGTGAGAAGGATGCTTAGTCATCTGGAAACTAGAGAGGGTGACATCCAAAGATTTTGGAGTTCTAGGCCAGAGGCTCAGGCTTTTCATCCCAGCAACTTGAGAGGTAGAGTCAGGCAGATCTCTAAATTTGAGGCCAGCCTGGTCTACACAGTGAGTTCCAGGCCAGCCAGGGCTCTATACTGAGACAGAACAAAACAAGGCTGGGGATATTGTTCAGTGGTAGAGCGCTTGCCTAGTGTATGTGAGGCTGTATATTCAATCCATGGTGCCACAAAAGGGACAGGATCAAAATAGCTAAGCAGGTGCTTGCCATGGAAAGGGTGGAAACCTGTGTTCTATCCCCTGGATCCACGAAAAGGATGAAGAGGAGAACACAATTGCTCTGGAAGCCCCATGAACATGCTATGGCACATGCGTCATGAGCATGTGCACACCCAATAAGAAAAGAAAAATTCCCAGGACATGCGTTTCATCCCAGCACTTAGGTGGCAAGCCCAGGAGGATCTCTGAATTCAAGGCCAGCTTGGTCTACAGAGTGAGTTCCAGGAAACTCAGGGCTACACAGAGAAACTGTCTTGAAAAACAAAACAAAAAATCTTTTATATCAACAAGGAAAAATCCCCAGTGTTTACTTTAATCCAATCCCCAAATAAGTACCTTACACAATAGTAGTCAAAAGCCATTTATTTTCCTACAGTCCAGTTCTTCATTTTTTGTAATAGGTCTTCTAAACTCAGAAGTAGGCCCCAAGAATTTGATCTGTAACTGGAGAAAAGAAAACAGAACAGGTAAAAAAAAGGCCCTGGACGAATTTCTGCATGTATACAGAAATTACAGAGGAAGGGACATCTAGAGATAGGTTCTGGCACTCAATCCCACTGGGGTAGCCTTGGAACTCTAGGATCAACCAGCAGCCAAAAAGCTAGAAGCCTCTTCCCACTCCCAGTTGAATGGGTTCCACTGCTCACTACTGTAAGAAGATGGATGGTGGGGATTGGCCAAAAGGAAAGTTAACAATGTTCTCTTGAGCTTCCAGTTCCTCTGGGCTGGATTCATTCGACAGTCTAGGCTGTTTTGACTTCTCCCACAGTGATTTTCTAGCACACAGAGGTAAGCAGAACCTAGGGAAGGCTTAGGAGCTGGTTATATAGCATACAGCTTTCAAACTGGGTGAAACCCTCCCAGCAAGGTGGATTTTAGATTGCTTTCTTTCATTCAGTAAGAGGTTGTAAATTAGTAGTATCAGTACTATGAGGACCTCATCTACTACATTTCCAAGCTCTTTCCCTCCAAAGATCTAGTCAGTAGTGCACTAGCTTTCTAAGTGCACTAGTGACTGGATGAAGAAAACGCTTAAAGTGCTTGGGCAGAGAACGTAACAGGGATCACCATTCAGTAGATTCATTGGAGCTGTTTGAATAGAATTCCAGGAGAGCCAACAAGATGGCTCTATCACTAGGCTGACAACTTGAGTTTGAATCCCAGGATACACAGGATGAAAAGAGAGAATGACCACCAAACATGTGCTGTTCCATAAACACAAACACATGGCTCCCCCTCAAATAAGTACATAAAAATAATAATTTTGCCAGGGTTGGTGGTGCATGCCTTTAATCCCAGCACTCAGGAAACAGAGGCAGGGGGACTTTGGGGCCAGTCTAGCTTACATAGCAAGCTTCAGGCCAGCCGGGGCTACACAATGAGATCCTGTCTCAAAATGAGTAAGTTTCAAGGGAAAAAAAAAAAAAAACAAGAGTCCCCTATTTAGGGCAGATCATCACAGAGCTCCGCTAGTTCATCACTGCTGACGTGTGGGTGTATGAAGCTCAGCTCCACTCAATCTGACGATCAGAACACTACCTGGAAGACAGCAGTCACAGAAGATACGTATGAAAGCATATCTACTTAAAAAATAAGGCCCTGTGTGCTGGTACATGTCTTTAATCACAGAGCTTGAGAGCAGGGGTAGGTGGACCTCTGAATTTGAGGCCAGCTTGGTCTACACAATGTATCAAGTTCACTGAGGCTTCAAATGAGACCATGTTTCAAAACAAACAAAAAAACAAAACAAAAGTAAAAAGAGGCCCTGGTGGTTTGGTGGTTAAGAGCACTTACTGCTCTTGAAGAGAACGGGAGTTTAATTTCCAGCAACCACATCTGGCGGCTTAAAACCACCTCTAACTCCAGCACCAAGGGGTTCGCCCCCCTCTTCTGGCTTCCTTGGGCACCTGTGCACATATGATGTACATAAATTCATGCAGGCACACACATATACACATAAATAAAAATAAATCTTAAAAAAATGTAAAGGTAGGGCCTTAGGGGGTTAAAAAAATGAAAAGACAAACAAATAAAATCAAACTATATCCATGCTTAGGGAGAGCTTTCACTTTAATAATCATACCTCCAATAGACTTCATTGACTTTGCCCCGTCAGTCACTAATCATACAGCTGCCACGACTGGTTGTATAATCGTGCAGGATAAAACAGGAGAACAGCTCACAGGGAGATCGAGAGGACTGTCAGGGAATATGGGAAGAGCAACCTTTCCTTTTCTTTTTTTCTTCTTTTTTCAAGACAGAGTTTCTCTGTGGAGCCCTGACTGTCCTGGAACTCACTCTGTAGACCAGGCTAACCCTGGACTCAGAGAGAACCAAATACCTCTACTTCTTTGGTTTTGGGATCAAAGGTGTATGCCACCATAACTCAGCTTAGGGGAGGCATCTGTATTGCTGATAACAAGTCTTTTTCTCCCTGGGTAGTGTCCACTTTATAATAATTTACCAAATTGTACTTTTATGGTTTTTCTTTTTACATGAAAAGTTATTTATTTCATCAATTCCATGAGAATCCACTCCATCTCTGACCTCCACATGTACACCATAGCACACGGGTGGACACACACAGAGAGAAAGAAAACAGTACAAGTAATAAAAATATTCTGTTTACAGAGAAGACTGTTCCCAGTTCCCAGGACACTGCTGAATAGGGCTCTCGGGGACTCACAGGAAGCTGTATTTGAGGATGGATTCTAAGGGTCTGCTTTACCAGGTTACAGCTGCTGTCCCTTCCCTACCTTAATTCCCACAGAGCCTCACCTGACAGCAGAGTGAGGCACAGTCCGTCGCCCTCATAGCCGCGTTCTAGACCAGTGGAATTCTGGGCGTGGATGGAAGCACACTGCTGTGGCACAGCAGAGAAAACCACAGAGCAGAACCAGGAAAAAGCCCAAGCCCAGCAGTCTGCTGCCACACAGAGCTAGCTCCTCCTAGTGGTGGGACAGAGAGGGAAGGGGAAATGGTTACAGGAGAGAGGGTTGGGAATCTTGGGAAGGTATCTTGTCCCATACCATGAAGAACAGAGACAGGCCTCCATGAGGCAGAGTCCTCCTGACACTTAGGGGCAGCTACGGGTCAGTGACAGATTCTTGCCCAATCATCAACTGAACTCTCAATGACTCCCCTGGAGTCATTTCTCCCCACATTCCACTTGTCTTCCTTCCTTCCTTCCTTCTCCCCTCCCTCCCTCCCTCCCTCCATCCCTCCCTCCCTCCCTTAAACAAGGTCTTATTATGCCTCAGGCTGGTCTCAAACTCTCATGTTCCTTCTGCCTTCAGCCTTCCGACTGCTTCGGTAACAGGTGTTTTCAAAGTATTTTTTTATATCTATATTTGTATGTAGGTGTTTGCACATTTATCTGTGCACTCCCTGCATACAATACCTGCAGGATCCAGAAGAGGGCTTCAGATCTCCTAGGACTGACCATAACAGATAATTGTAAGTTGCTATGTGGGTGCTGGGGAATAAACCCAAGTCCTTTGGTGGGGCAGTCTTTGAACTTAACCACTGAGCCATTTCTCCAGCCATAAAACTCTGGTTGCCAACAAATGCCTTTACTTGCTTCAGCCATCTTGACAGTCCTTCACATTTTAAAGACTATGCAAATAGAGCCAAATTCTGCTTCTCCAAATGGCCTTTTTAGAAAATTAATTAATTAATTACATTTGGTTTTTCAAGATAGGAACTCTGTAGACCAGGCTAGCCTAGGACTCAAGAGATCCATCTGCCTCTGTGTCCCTAGTTATCTGCTGGGATTATAGACATTGTGGTAGTTTGCATATGCTTGGCCCATAGCAGAGTGGTACTGTTGGAAAGTGTAGCCGTGTTGGAGGAAGTGTGTCACTGTTAGGGTGGGCTTTGAGGTTTCATATATATATGCTCAAGTCTGGCAAGAATCAGTCTGTTCCTGGCTGTAATCTGGTCAAGATGTGGAACTCTCAGCTCCTTCTCCAGCACCATGTCTGCCTGGACTCTGTCATGCTTCCTGCCTTGATGATAACAAACTGAACCTCTGAGCCTATAAGCCAGCCCCAATTAAATGTTGTCCTTTATAAGAGTTGCCCTTGGCCATGGTGTCTCTTCACATCAATGGACTAAGACAGGCACGCACGACCACCCCCTGGCACAAATGACCTTTTCAGTATGAGGGATGAGCATGTAGAAACCCTTTACTCAGTCTCCTCTGCCCTGCCGAGAGCTGCTTTCTCTTCCCTAAGGGCTCTGGATGGCCCCTACTTCAGTGTCAAACTGTAACACTTGTCTAACATTCACAGTAGCTCAGAACTGGCTCTAAGATCCAAGAGTTCTCCTGCTTCCTTCTACCTCATCCCTAAACACCTCCTGTGAGTCCCACAACAGAGAACTGCACTCCTTTCCTCATTGAAGGATCATTTTCCCAGGGAAAGGGGACTGGACTGCTGCCTTAATGCTGCCTCTAAACCAGCTGTGTGCCTTTAGGCAATTCATTCCCTCTCTAAGCCTTTTTCCTCATCTGCAAAATGGGATAATAGTACCTGTCTCACAGGACTACCTTAAGATCAAATGAGACAATACTTCATACTTTGAGACAATACAAATACTTTGTACAAATGAGACAATACAAATACTTTGTATACTATCGATTACTATACATAACTCTTTCTTACTAGAAATGTTCAAGTTAGGGTTAACTGTTCCTTGCTTTATGTCTGGGTAACACTCTGCTCATATCTCTATTACAGCAACTATCTCATTCTGCCTCTAATTATACTTCTGAATCTCTTTTGTTTCTTGTTGTTGTTTTGGTTTTTTAGACAGGATCATAATAACCCTGGCCATCCTGGAGCTGCCTACATAAACCAAGCTGGTCTCCAAGTCAGCAAACAGCAAATGGCTGTCTCTGATCAAATCTGTTTTGCATCAGGTACTGTGCTGAGTACTTTACGGTCATTCTTATTCAATCCCAGTTACTGAAATTTGTAGATTATATCTCATTTGTCTTTTGCAGATGAGGAAGCTGAATCCCAAGAGATTCCATGCTTGCTCTTAACATCATTGCCTGTAACCTAAGGCAGGATTATCAGAAAGTATGCTTGTTCACTCTTCTTCTTTTTAATACATGGTCATTATAAAACCCAGGCTAACCTCGAACTTTCAATCCTCCAGCCTCAGACTCTATAGTACCAGGATTGTAAAAGAGCATGGTACCACACCAGAGGAAGCCCATTCCTTCTCTACTAAGTAAAGCGGCCTCATCAACCCTTTCAGACAATGTTCCACATAAAACATTGAGGATCAACCTGTGCACTTACTGAAGTAAGCAGCTTGGTGAGCACAAGGCGCTCGTGGCTCCAGACCCTGACACACTCCTCATCCATCACTGGGGTCAGGATAGCATTTCCAGCTCCCTCTTCTGAGCAGGATATAGGTGGTTGGCTAGAGGGCAGGATTTCTGGAACTCCACTAAAATACAAGCAGGTCCCTGGAGTCCTTCCTGAGGCCACTCTGGCTGTGACAAGGACAGACTCTCTGGCAAAGGACCCTGCAGGAAGCACAAGACACAAGGTGGAAGACACAGTGGGGCTGGAGAGACGGCTAGCAGCAAAGAGCACTGGCTGCTCTTCCAGAGAACCTGGGTCTGCTTCCCAGTACACACATCTAGAGGTTTCTAACTGCCTGAAACTCCAGCTTCAAGGGATCTGATCCCCTCTTCAGGCTTCCTCTGGTAGACAGACACACACACACAGCATTCACAGTTATAAGCACATACACAAACCAGGTGTGATGGCACATGCCTTAAATGCCAGCACTCATGAGGCAGAGGCAGGCAGATCTCTGACTTTGAGGCCAGCCTGGTCTACAGAGTGAGTTCTAGGACAGCTTGGACTACAGAGTGAAACCCTATCTCGGAGGGGAAAAAAAAAAAAAGAAATGGAAAGAAAGAAAAGTAAAAAAATGAAAGAAGCCAGGCAGTGGTGTCGCACGCCTTTAATCCCAGCACTTCGGAGGCAGAGGCAGGCGGATTTCTGAGTTCGAGGTCGGCCTGGTCTACAGAGTGAGTTCCAGGACAGCCAGGGCTACACAGAGAAACCCTGTCTCAAAAAAAAAAAAAAAAAAAAAAAAAAAAA